CGTTACGACACTGAGGTATTTTAAAGGGCGCTTACAAACACACCAATAAAAATAAATATAGGGATATACATACATTTATATATATATTTATATATACATTTATAATGTTGTATTCAAAAATTTGAAATTATATCAAGTTGTATTCAAAAATAAACAATATTTTAGGCAAAAAACCACTCGAGACACTCAAATTAAAATGAATTTTTGTGATCATTTTATGAAGAGCGTAATCATTTTTTCAATAATCATACACGGAGTGTTGAACAACTTAGCGAGAGAAAGATTTTCGAAGACCATACTTGGTGGCGTGCCAGTTTGTTGTCAGGATTCATCCAACAGTACCGTGCGGTTCGTCAATGAGAATGTTAGCTTTCAACTTTCTTTCCAAATTTATTTTATTTAGGATTTCTAAATTGGATGACGTCTGAATTTTATATCATTACCTACATGCTCAAATAAATGTCAACCAAAATATAACTATAAATTACTATTGACACGTAATGAATATAAAATATAAAACTGACATATAATAGACATTTTAAAAGCGTCTTGAAAATTTAGTTGATCTCTGATAAACCTTTTTAACAAAACTACTTATGAAATAAAAAAGCGCAATTGATAAAAATATTACGTTTACACAAAAAAGTTTACACAATGCAAAAAAACATTTATAATTGATAAAAGATGAACTCATGATATAAGTTTAAAAAACAAAAACTGTAGTTGTCATGCCAGGGCCCAGCCAGATGTTCATGGATGTGTCAAAGAGATCCTACCTGTTCGTCCTTCAACTTCATTCACCACCACCTTGATCCTGCCCTGAACTCCAACCTCATTGAATGCAACTTTTTTGTTGCCAGGTGTTACAGCGTGCTGCCTCTTCAAAACTGCTCACATTTTCAGGCTGGTTTCAATTTAAAATTGATTGTTACAAAATTTAATTTAACGTTTTCTTCTTAGAAACCGAGTGTCAAAATCTATTCTGAGAATGGTAAGAAAAAACTTTTTTATTTCTAGATCGTTGCACATAAAAAAAACTCTATCAATGATTTTTTAACTTTTTAATTTATCTCATTAAAGAAAAGAAATCGGCTTGTTCATTTCCATACACTCTCAATGGATCGGTTTATTTCGGTTGTACCTCCAGTTCAACTTGTTTAAATGGAAATGGAGTTCAAATGGCATGTACTGACGGACAACCAAGTATTCAGTTATTTTATACCAAATAAGCACAATGAAAAGTTAATAACGCTGCAATTGTTTTGCCTCCAGCTAGTTCACAATTCACTCCCATTAATCTCTCCGTGCCGAATGTTCCAACGTCAAACGTGCCAGCGTACACGAAAGCGGGTTGGCTGGTGATACATCAGGCCAACGTTTCATCCAACGAAAGCTTCAATAAAACGTGGAACCAATACAAATATGGATTCGGCAATTTGGATGAAGTGAATTTTTTTTCAATAACTTTTCTTTGCAATAATAAATGAATACTGATTAAATTGTTTATTTTAAATAAATATTTTGATTCTTATGCTATTCAAGTTCAAATTAAACTTAGAAATAAAAAAATCATATACTTTTCAACATTTAACTCAAATAACGTTCTTTTTTATATAAAATAGTACGCTAAAATCTAAAATTTATTTAGTATATCATGATATCAAGAAATTCACGATGTAATCAACAACGTCATTTACATTGCGTTCAAGATTAAAATATTATCGTAGTATCAAGATACCCGAATGATCACGAGGCCGAAAAAGTGTCTTAAAACTCTTTATGTCCCATATTATAAGCGCTTCGATTAGTTTCCTACACGTTATATAAAAAGGACCAAAAAGGACCAAATAATTGTGGATGGGGAATTTGAAATAATTGGACCAGATCTGAAACAGCCTGTCTAATGACCTTTGGTTTAATTTTGATATAGTTGAAGAGAATAATATATCGATAAATTTTTGTTGAAAATATTATTGCAGGTTGTCTTCTCATTATTTCTAATAAACTTAAACTTTTATACAAATCATGACAAGGGCAACTACTGGCTGGGAAACGAGTACGTCAGTCAGCTGACATGGATGATGCCCAACGTAACCTGGCGTCTGCACGTCAGCGTCCAAGCATCTGCCAACAAGAAGTTCTACTCCACTGAGTACTGGAGGTTCAGGATCAAGAGTGAGGAAAAATTGTACGCCATTGAACTGGCAGGCAATGTGCCAAGAGATGCTGGAAATGCATTTGGCAATGCAAGTCAACCACAGTTTGTGACAAATTTGAGAGCGTTCTCAACTCCTGACAAGGACAACGATGGATGGTCTGGTGGCAAGTGTGCCAACAAGAATGGATGGTGGTTCAACATGTGTGGAGTCAGTGTGCTGACGAGCACTCCTCAAATCTGGGAAACTGTGAAACGTGCAACTGCAGCTGCTGATTTTAATGTTATTTATTCCACCATGATGATTATGGCAAATTAATTTCTATATAATCTGTTTTCTTTTTATACATTCAATTATTTCCCTGTTTTTTCTTTTGACAAACTTTCAGCAAGCTCTTAATTTATAGATGCTTATAGCTGTTTTTTTTACTTTTTATATTTAAAAACCTAAAAGATATTTCTAAATATTTATTAATTAAATAATTTAATTATTTTTTGTTTTCATTTTCAGCACGATTATTGTTTTAAGTTGTTGATTGCACTAAATTTTTAAATTACCAATAAGTTTATCTGAACAACATATTTAACTTCAGGCGGGTTATAAAATATTACATTCTTATCTCAACAACGTCATCTGTAAATTTTAAGAATATTTTTGGAAACGATTAGTAATTCAAAAATTTTTCTTATAATTTTGAAGAATTTTTAACTAACACTTTTCTCTAAAAATTATTAATATCTTAAATACGTAATTTGCATTATAATTTTGGTTTTAAAAAATTTTAATCAACGATTATGTTATGATCTTTAAATACACCCAAACATAGTTTTTAACATGCAGTCACATCTTTGATTATCTTTATAAAAAGTAGTCATACAATCAAGAAGCGATGGACTCATGGTTGCTGATGTGATGAAACAATTATGAATGATGGTACGTTGACGATAAAATGATGACGAATGAAAGGAAAGTGACAAAAAATCATTTTAAATTGAGGACATAATTAGTTACGTTAATTGTTTCTTTAGCTACGAATAGATGAAGAAGTAATGATGAAGCAATAAAATATAATATATATTTTAAGTTTGCTTCAGTTAAGTTACTTTTAGTCAGAATAATTTTTAATAATATTAAACTGATGATTTTGAAAATAGAAGTTTTATGAAAAAAATGTTTCCATTAAGAGTAATGCATTATAAAATTATTCAAGTTTTTCTTTTGTAGAAAGACTAGGCCATCAAATCAGGGTCATGACTATCAAAGCAAGCATGAATCTCTAAGGTGATGCATCAAAAATCAACTTCAATGGCAGACATATTGTTTAACAGCAAATCAGCAAAAATAAAAAATAGATTGAAAAAGATTTTTTAAAAGAAATTAAATTAGGAAAAGTTATAAATTATCTCTAAAGTTAAACTAAAAAAAACAAAGATTAATTAAAACTAGAAATAAACTAGTTAACAAATATATAATTTTTCGAAAACGAGATGTACCAAAACAATTATCCTGTGCAGAAACAGCACTAAAAGTGTTTTCGAAAGGGGAAATTAAAATGATACGAGCACATTTTCATTGTTGTTTGTCACACACAAACATACACAGTAGCGGATCTAGACAACAACTTTAATTGGGGGGGGCCTATAATTTGAAATTTTTTCAAACGTTGACTGGGGGGTCATCTTTGAAAATGTTACAATATGTCTCAATATTGACCAGGGGTCAACATTTTGACGGAAGCCAACATTTGAGACTAACAACTTTTTTTTGCTTATCACGTCATTTTTTCGTCAAAAATGACACTTTTTCCGTTAAAACAAAATGTTTTACTGACTTAAAACAAAATGTTTTACTGACTTTTAATACAAATACTTATCACAACGAAGAGGCACTCCCCCCAGCCTTCCCTAGATTCGCCACTGTGAATAATTTCATCAATGCTGTAAAATACATTTACCACAGGGAAGGGTTTTTAGCTTATTTACATCTTGTGTTTATTTATAAAGAACAAATTCTTTAGTTTTTAGGCTAATTGATTATATATATGTTTCTTAAACATGCAGAATAAATCTTGAATTTTCTTAACCAGCAAATCATTATCTAGTACAAACACAAAGTTTATTTAAAGCATGATTTGTAAATAGTTTTAATTTGTTCACATTGTTTCTGATATATAATCTTAAAACATTTAACAATTGTTTTTTAAAAAAATCTATTTCTTAGTAACAAGAAGTTCTACTCCACTGAGTACTGGAGGTTCAGGATTAAGAGTGAGAAAAAATTGTACGCCATTGAACTGGCAGGCAATGTGCCAAGAGATGCTGTAAATGCATTTAGCAATGCAAGTCAACCACAGTTTGTGACAAATTTGAGAGCGTTCTCAACTCCTGACAAGGACAACGATGGATGGTCTGGTGGCAAGTGTGCCGACGAGAATGGGCGCTGGTTCAACTGGTGTGGAGTCAGTGTGCTGACGAACAATCCTCAAAGCTGGGGAACTGTGAAGTCTGCTACTTCAGCTGCCAATAAGGATGTCATTTATTCCACGATGATGATTATGATTAATTGATTGTTGTTTTTGTTCACTTTATGCTGATTGGATTATTTTAATATTTTTCTAATATTTGAAGCATTTTTTAAAAGTTCTTGTAAAAGTTTATGATTTTTTATCTTTTATCATTATTTTTCAAGTTTATTTGTTTTTATTTACCGGTAGTTTGTGTCGTTCTTCGATTTTATAACACCACATATGTTTTATTATGGAACATCATTAAACATCACGTGTTTTATAATGGAACAGCATTGAACATTGTGTACATTATAATATGAAACATTCAGTGACCTACCAATAAAGTGGAAGCACTGCCACTCCAGGTGCCGGCGCACAAGGGGGTATTAAAATATTGCTCTACAGTATTTAAATGCGCGGACACGGACGGCTAAAAAAGAGTCGAAGTCTTTCAATAGAACAAAAAGTTTTAGTCATCGACGAAGTCTTGCAAACGTTTTACATGATGTTGGCCACGATCAATCAAGGAAACTTTCATGAGACGTTCCTTGCAGGCTGGCTAACTAACTAACTGATTATTTTGTGCCAAATTTTTTTAACAAGTTCGAAAATTTAATATATGATTAAAATATTTTAGCAAAAATTTTTTTTGTATGACTGTTAGTGTTTTAATGTAATTTTTAGTGTTTTTTAATTTAGTTTACCCGTGGTATGTTACAAGATGTTATCTTTTTTATACCACGAATTATTTCATTTCAATTTACTAAATTTTGTTTGGCCTGATCCGGCGAATGAGAAAATGAAGCTTTTTATGTTATGTAAATACGGATTGAAAACATTATTTGGATATGAGGTAGAGCCAACAGGGTTTGCTGACACGGGGTGCTACTGAGGACCTTATTAAGAACCGCATATATTTTAAAATCACTGAAACATACACAAGTTGTTTGTGAAAAATAACTTTGTCTGAAAAGCTGAATTTTCACAAATTTTCGTTTCAATCATGGTCCGTTTTGTATTTCTACTTGAATTTCCGTTATTTGAACAATATATATAATAGTTAACAAAGAAAATTTTTAAATGAATTATTCCAAGAGATAATGAAGGGGAAACATGGAGGTAAATTATAAAAAACTACATTCTTAAAAAAAATTAAAAAAGCATTTAGACGAAAGTCACTAGCTTATAATCAGTCAATAATTTACCTTACTTACCAACAGTCTCTAGTAAAAGAAAATTTGTAAAGATTTAAGACAGTTCAGAAGCATTAAGCATGAATCGAAAAAAGCTAAGGAGAGGCCATTGGAGTAACTCGAAAATGAGAATTTAAAATAGAAAAAATGTGCTTTCATGAACTACAAAAGAAAAAACAAAAAATTATGACCAACTAAATACGCGCCGTATCAGGAGCAACGCAAACGGAAGTCAATGATGGTCGACACGTCAAGCAAAAAATATTCCGAGAGTAAAATTTTTTTTATGTTGAACTCCAAGGACCAAACTTTTAACGTGATTTTTGGACATATTTGATAAGGCCACCACCAAACGCAAAAGAAATCAAACACATGAAGATATTCAATAAAATACAATTCCCTAAGATTAAAAAAATAATAAAAAATGAAACAGAAGTAAATTCGTTAGACAAAAAATTAAAATTAGTTGACAGCAAGATGTGATCGAGTTAATTTACAATTCATGTCGTTTCGGTGTTATTATCAAGTTGTCAGCATCTGAAAGTGTGTATGACGAATTTTATTTGCTTATACTCAACCAGGTTTAAAAAACAAAAAGTTGATAAATAATTTAATAAATTATAAATATAAAAAATGAGATTTTAAACAAATTACAATTTTCGTGAAGAAGTCGATTGAGAATCAATGAAAAAAAGGACTTTCGTTTTTTAGATGTTCCATCAGGAGCAAAAAACCTGAAAAATTATTTTTATATTCATTATTGTTTTGAGTTAACACTTGATTACTGTCAAAAATGTCATCAAATGATGGAAATTTGCCAACATTTGGCAGATACAATATAATACAATACCATATACTTGAGCTTCGATGGATGCAACGAATTAGTCTAAAGGACCACATCAAATCTACCGAAATCCTGCGTCGTGCTGGTTTAGATGATATAAAGGACGAATGCCGGCAACACCGTCTGCGGTGGTTTGGTCATGTCAAACGAAGTGGAAACAGTGCCATAACTTCTCTTGCAGATGTTGAAGTACCTGGCACACGTCCCAAAGGCCGTCCAAAGAAGTCCTGGTCGCAAACAATCGAGCAAGACATGAAAGCTCTAAATTTAAATGAAATGGATACAACTGATCGTCTAATTTGGCGCAAAAAGTTGATGGCAAAGAAAACAACGTCCTACCTCGGGAAACCGGGTCTCTGGACGCAAAACGAAGATTGATTGATATACTTGAGCCCGCGTGGTTGTGGCCTTCCAAACTTAGGAACCAAACCAACTCATAGCAAATAAATGAATTAATATTTGTAATAATCTCAGAGAGTTGTAAGGAGTAATTAGCTTATTACGACTTAAGGGGTAATTAGCATGTTATAGCTAAGGATTAATTAGCATATGTGCTGCTAAGAGGAAATTAGCATATTAGTTATGTGTTCCATTATGGTATCAGAATCCATCATTAAAACGCCGCTCCTCGATGGCATAATAATCGTAAGGGCTGAAAAAGCTGAAAAAGATTCGTGATTGGTAATGAACAGTCAGTGTATTCAACTCCAAAAATAAATGTATAAAATTTTGGATTTCAAGAGCTTGATTGAAGACAGGACAACTTGGGCAATCATCGACCCTAAAAACAATTATAAATTTATACATCCCTTATAAATGTCTTTATAATGCTTTAGTTTTAACATTGCATACACATAAGTCACAAAAAATTAAGACTAAGAAAATCAACATTTTACAAAGAAATTTCAAGGTATCACTTTGACACATATAATTTGACATCAACTTTCTAAAGGAAGGGGTCGTCCGCGATTGGGATGGAGAGAGCAGGTGGAGAAGGACAGGGTGAAAGCGGGGTTGCGTGATACTGAGGCGAGTGACAGATGTGGATGGCGTCGAAGGGTATTTCGATTTCATCATAAGTAGCCAAACGGCAACCCCTGATCTCGGGGAAAATGTCGTCTAAACGTGTGTTGTTGTTTTGTTGTATCAACTTTCTAAATGTGAAAATATAATAATTTTTTTAACATAGTGTTTATTTCGTTTAATATAAAACTATTATGATATTTAGTGCTGGCAAAACGTTGAAATAATTTTTACATGAAGATGCATTTATAAAAATTTAGCCATCTATCTCTATATGTTCGAATATATACGATAATAAAGAATGAAGTGAATAGTACATATTTTAATATGAATTATTTACAACATATGAAAGTGACAACTGGCCGTTTCGTTATTGACATGCCTATACATCAAATTGTAAACCTATTGATGAGACTTTGTCACTTATTAAGAAGTTTATTAAATTGAAAATTTGTGAAAGAACGGCAATGAGCAAAAAAAGAACGCCAGGTTTTTTTGACACCAAATGGCTCTTTCCATCTGCGTCAAGTTACTAATTGTCACAATCATCATCATCACTATCAAAAAAAATCACCATCAGCGTTGCTTTCAACATATGTATTTCCTGTGTCAAAACTGTAATCAAGATTTGGCCCCTCATCAAAGGCGTCTGGGTTGGCCAGTGAAACTTCAGGAAGTACAGCTACAACGCCATCATCAAAATTATAAGGGCAGGTGCATGACCAGCGGTCGAGTTCAGCAGATGAGCTAGGAAGAGGTTAACTAAGATAGTTCTGCGTGTTGCAGACTGGACACGGACAGATAGATGTAGAACTGTCTAAATAGAACGTTAACGACTTTAGATAAATCAGATACAACTTCACCAAAAAAAGGAAAAAGCCATTTTTGAGCTGGGTGCAGTTTAGAATAATCATAGAAAATAAACTTGGCAAATTGTAACGTGACGAAATTATCATTACAAAATTTCAGACAGTTATTTGGTAGACAGGACTTGAGCTTACAATGAATGATGATGACAGATAACAAATAAATAAATAAACAATTAATTAATTAAATAAATTAATAACTAATTAACCATATGAAAATCAATATTAACCAACCATCCTACATGATATCCACATTTTGGACAAAATATAATGTGCCATAAATAACCAGGGTACCACGTGTCTGATGTCGATCCCTGTATATATATATATATATATATATATATATATATATATGTGTGTGTGTGTGTGTGTGTGTGTCAAAAACTTATATATATATATATATATATATATATATATATATATATATTATTTATAAAAATTAAAGCATGTTCATCAACCACTAAGTAGTGACACTTTAGCTTGAAATTAAACTTTATCTATTTCTACAATTGCTAACTTTAAGCATCTTTTCAGTTCTGTTATATTGAAAACAAATTTAGATTTTTGACCTAGTGATTGAAAAAGGTACAAATTTCATTTTTCTATTGTTCAGAGGTGTCAACAGTGTATATGAATACGTTTAAAATGACACATCACAAACATTACCCTCCCTTGTATTTGAAGTCAGTCACAGCAAAGCCGGACTAGGCACCTTTAACCATTAGGCCATCACGCCATCCATGGCAAAAATGTTATGACAACAAAGCGTTATACCAAGTGAGACTTGCATCATGTCATTTTTGAATTAATATTTACTTCTTTTCAAACTTTATATCTATCCATCCATCCAACCCAACTCATACATTGAGAAAAATCAATTTAATTTTTATACATTATAATAATTTGTGACAAAAAGATCAAATTAGTCGAAAAATTTCACTATACCTCATCCAGCTTAAACACATCTGCAACCCACGTTGATATCAAATCAAAAATTGATCCTGTACAAATTTTAGACGAATAAGTTTATCAAACAAATTGTCAGTAACGCTGGAAAACCTCAGAACAAACCATGTGCATTTTTGAACGTCTGTATTAAAAGTGAATTTCTGCCAAATGCAGTTCCATTGCGGGAATGTATCGATTTCTTTGAAGGCACGTTCACGAGGTCACTTGAATGCGTAATAGGGTGGCCACAGTTGGAACATAACAGTGAGTCTGAAAAACCGTTCATTGAAAATTTTGTTATATCCTAATATATTATGAAATATTAGTTAATTAATACAGCACCAAAATTTCCAAAAAATACAAAATGGAATATGAACAGTTATTAAATTTATCAATCCAGCATAAGAATTATTTGGTTTAACCAAATTATAATAAATATTGAACAAGAATAAAAGTTTGATAAGTACAAATAAAAAAATCAAGGTGTACAAATAAATGTACTTTTCAAATCTCATTGATCTGGCTTATTGATTAAGATTAAAAGTTTATTCAATTTAATCACCAGAATAAAAATATATCTTAGATCTTAGGTGATAGTCACAACAACACATTAGTTAAACATTCACACTTTACTACTTAAACAGCTTAGTTATCACATATAAATAAGTTCATTGTGACAGACAACCTAATTTGGTTTGGAACATTTATTTATTTATTGTACAATTAGAAAATAATCATATAAAATAAAAAATAAATTATAAGATCATGTTTGTTTGTATTCTTTTGCTTTGTATATATATTAAATTAGGCATTTATTTATTAATTTTATTTACAATTACAATTAAGTTAAGTTGCAGTTACCCGGGTTACACATTAATTATGTAACTGGTAAGTAGCATTTGTTACCAGTATAAAAACGCCAACCGGAGTAAATTGAAAAAGTAAAATGAATGAAAACCTGTTGAATTGTCACAAAGACAAAAACAACAGAGGAGTAGGAGGAGCAATGAGATGATTGACGTCACATAAAATAGCCCAACTACAAACGAGACAATCTTCATTAGTATGGCGACCGTGGCGACGTCTTGTTTACTTCATTTGAGATTCTATGGAATGTTTACAAAGAACAATCAAGTAATGGAAGGCCTCAATATATTTTCAAATAAATAAAATTAATTTATTAAATCAATGTGTTCGATCACATGGAAGGAATCGAGTTATTGACCGGATTGGCAGAACATATTTTATTCAGCAACATATAAAAGCTAGTGAGTGAGTCAGAGTCTGCAGACGGGTAAAAACAACATGACATAACAGGGTTTATAGTTGTTAGAGTATGTCTGTGTGAACAACTGCATCCAATCGGCGATAGCCAGAAGCAAAACTGACGAGTTATTCAAGGAAATATATGATGGATAGACAGCCAGGAGGACATCTTGGAGTAGACAAGGCGCAAAAACTAACTGTAAACGGTAAAGTAACAATTTTCAAATTCAATTCACAGTGTTTGGAATTTTCTTTCAAAAAAGTTTATCCTCAATTAGTTCTTGATATCATATACTTAAGTTCAATTAATTTACGAGAGCTTTATACGATTCTGAACATAGGAAGAGTGCAATAGACCCCTAAATTTTTATTTTCACGCCAGAAATACGCAGTTTTTTTTATGAACCAATTTTATGTTATATATGTCAGTAATAAAGCACTAGTACAAAGCTAAAGCGTCTTCCTTAACTTTTTTATTTAATTAATTTTTCAGACCATGAAAAACAGATATTTTAAGATTATAAGAATTAATTTATTGCTACACAGGCACGAAGGAAACGCTTATGAATGTAATATTGTAATGGAATATGAATACTGTGCGTGTGTTAATTATTTTCAATCGACTTTTTTGATAAATTTTTAGTAGATTTATATACCCAAGAAATCCAGGTTTCTGTTGGGAAAACTAGAAAGCAAACCAATATTTCGTAAGCTTTTATAACGATTTATAGAGAAGATCAGTGTTTCGATTAACCATCAAATAATTTAATATTGATGTCACCTTAAATTTCATCAATGATTTTTAGCTATAGTATTTGCAATTTTATGATGTTGTATTTAAAATATACAGAAAGTTTCTAGTTTCGTAATGAAATCTCAAGATGATAATAATTTTAAATTTATAATAATAAATTGTAAATATTTTATTTGTGGCAACTGGAAAGTCAGGCGAGGGCTTCTATTTATTAGGACATAATTCATTTAAAAAGTATAATGGATAGGATAATTATCCATGAATATTACTACTATATCTACTGCTTCTACAGCAACTACTACTATCACTACTACTACCACCACAATTATTACTACAAATACTACTACTAATACTACAACTACTACGTACTATCACTACAACTACTACTGCTGCTACTACTTATATAGCTGCTAAAACTATTACCAATGCCATTAATGCTACTGCTACTACTACTACTACTACTACTACTACTACTACTACTACTACTACTACTACTACTACTACTACTACTACTACTCTTACTATTACTATTACTATTACTACTACTATTACTACTATTACTACTACTACTTATACTAATACTACTACTACTTGAAAAAATAAAAAACACACATATGCACAAATTGTTTTAATCATGTGTTAATTAGCGCCCTGACAGCAAATAACCATTAAAATTTATCTCATTGCAGATTAATCAATTTGTGATATCAACAACAAACACATCGTTATAGATGCCACTACTACTACAACACTACTTCTACTACCACTATTACCACAGCTACTTCTACTACGACGACATCACATGCTCGTTTTACAATATTTCATCTATAGTTAGTGCAGCTGATATAATTTATTCAATGGTGGGTCATCAGGTGGTAAATTTAATGGGGGACAGAAGGGCCATGGTTGAAAATTCAGCCAGAATATATTGTCTAATTACAGTTTTTTTATAAGTAAATGCAGCGTTTTAAATAGAAAAATTGACACAAAATTGTGTGATAAGTTAAAAAAGGGTTGCCAAGTAATTTCCAGCTGTCTGAATCCGTGAGTTTATCACCTTAATGGGATTCATTTTCAATAACTAAACAACTACTTCTGTAGCAAACAAACTAAAACAAAGCTTTTGGTGCTTGAAAAAAATTCAAAACTTTAACTTTTTAACATTACTAAATTTTTTCATTCAAATGTCCACAAAGGACGACATTGTTGTTAACATGTTGTTAACAACATGACATTCTTATTAATTTTCACAGAAGTATATCCCTAAGGGTATCCGTAAACATATCCACAAACAAAAACATACACACATTGCACATAAACATATGTTGTATACAAACATACTTACGCACATACATTAAATTACACAGTTGTTGTATACCAGAGTTTGCTAGGACTCGTGCCCGTACATAATTGCTGGTTACTAAATGGTGTCAAGTCATTTTCGACATGAACTGTCTATAATTGTTTTGGTGAAGTTCCTAAATGTCTGATTTTATCGTTTGCGCTGTTTGGACGTGAGTGCCTGTCTGTTTGTCTGTCTGTTTGTCTATCTGTTTGTCTATCTGTTTGTCTGTCTG